AGCAGCCGTTGCCTCCTGTTGACAGCGGTGTGAGACTTGTGAGGTCCCCAGGGGTGTCTGGGCTCCCAGCATCCTTGGCCTGCTGGTGAGGGAGGTTCAAGCCAGCAGGAGATAGGTCTCATGAGAGGGGTGGGCAAGAGTGGGATGGTGCCGGCTGTCTCCATGGCCAGTTCAAACCACGGAAAGCTGCATATAACCAGCCCCTGGGGAGCACCAGCCTCAGGGAACATGGCAAACCAGCTGTACAATCAGGGACAGCATCAGTTGGGAGCGGTGTCAGCAGTTCGTGAGGCAGTTCATGTGTCAGTGCACATGGGAAGAGCTGCCAACCCTGCCAGTGACCAGGCTGCTGCCTGCTCTGCTGGCCTGCAGGCTTAGGCTGCAGCCTCAACGGTCACCCCAGATAGCTGATAGCCATGCAAGCTTACCTAGAAGCTTGAGATCACCAGGGAATTAGCATTAGAAGAACAATGTCTTTCAAAAGAATTATCATTTTATAAGTGGGCTATTTTTTCTGAGGACTATGAGGAGATTGTGACCTCAAGGTTCACCCACAACTGCCACTGCTGTGGCTGAAATTTGAATGGAAAAACGACAGCCTACGTATGCTGACGTCTCCACCTAGACCTCCCAATGACTGAAATAGCTCTCCACACCTTAGATTGCATGGAGCTTCAGTATATGGAAGTCCCTCTAGGAGCTAAAGGCAGCAGTTGCTGTCATAATTGCAAGTGTGCCCAGCTGGAGGAACTCCTTGAACAAGTAGCTATGTTACCAGAGGAACTCAACAGGCAATGCAGTATCCAGGAATGTGAGCAGGAGGTCAAAAATTTTGTGCACTGTCCCAGACTAAGTGCACAGCCCTGGCTTAAGGCTGAGCAAGGGGAAGGTAAGCCTGAATCCAGCCTTGAGCTGTCTGTCTGACACAAGTAACTCAGAAGATGGAGGACACCGGACACCTGTCTCTGATTGGGGCAGAAGAAGAACCTTTCCCCATCCTCTGAAGTGCTCCTGTGTAACAGACATGATGTTTTGGGGTTGGACAATGAAGAGCATGTGTGCAAAGGACAGCATCCAGGAAAAGCCAAACATGCAAACTTGATCCAACCACCCACCTACATTAGAACCATTGCCACCAGAAAAGCATATAAGTTATTAAGAACTGGAGATTCCCTACTGAGAGCCAAAGCAACCATTTGCCATCCAGACCATTTCTCTAGAGAAGTTTGCTTCCTACCAGGACCTACCAGATCCTACAGGAGCTCATATTCATGAGACCTCTGAGAGGCAGCCAAGCCTGATGAACCCGACAGAGTATCTTCTGTTCCTACTATTCCATGTGGGTTCTGTTGATAATGCAACAAGGCAAGCTAGGCTATGTGCCCCTCAGAGCAACATTAAAAGGATCAGGAGCACAGGTGGTGGTGTCTATCCTCCCAGTCACAGGAAGGGGTTCAGAAAGTGGGAAGCAAATTGAACAGGTGAATGCCTGGCTGTATAGCTGGTGCCATACTCAAAGTTTTGGCATCTGTGATCATGGATCGCCCTTTGAGAAGCCAGCTGATGGGATTCGTCTGAACAAGTGAGGGAAGAGCATCTGCGCCAACAAGCAGGCCAGACTTATAGGCAGAACTTTTAACTATATTTAGCAGGGGAAGGGGACCGAGTTTTGAGTAACAGAGAAGAGCCGGGGGTTGCTGATGGATTAGCAACCACCAGGGGAACACCTATGAAATGCCCCACAGGAAACAGGGAATTTTCCTCTAAAAAGGTGACATGGTTGATAGCCCAAATGAATTGTCTGTATACCAATGCAAACAGCATGGATAACAAACTAAAGAAGCTGGAAGCTACTGTGCAGCTAGGAAGCTATGATCTAATTGCTGTCACTGAAACCTGGTGGGATGAATCACACAACTACACTGTTGCAGTCAATGGCTTTAAACTGGTGGGGGGTGGATACCCTCTATATAAAGCTATGGATTGACTACAGACAGCTGTCTTTGAATAACTGAGATGAACAGGCTGAGAGCTTATGGGTGAAAATTAGAGGTCAAGCCAACAAAGGAAACCTTGTGGTCAGTGTTTACTGCAGACTGCCTGATCAAGGGGAGGATGTTGATGAAGCATTCTTACTTCAACTACAGAAAGCATCACACTTGCAGACTGTGATCCTGCTGGGGAGCTTTAATCACCCTAATCTGCTGGAAGAGCAGCACAGCAAGCTAGGCAGTCCAGGAGACTCTTGGAGTGCAAGGTCAGGTTGGATGGAGCTTTGAGTAACCTGGTTTAGTGGGTGGTGTCCCTGACCATGACAGGGGATTGGAACTAGATGATCTTTAAGGTCCCTTCTAATCCAAACATTCTACAATTTGTCTGTCTAATATGATCCAGTGATCATCTATGCAGTCCTAATATATTTTTTATCTACTGCTGTTAATAACACAATATAGACTGAAAGGAAAATAATTTAATGTGCCTCAGGAACAGAATGAATATTTATGGTAAGTATAGTAACATCCAGCATTTAGATCCATTCAAGTGATAGATTTTCAGAGGAAGAAAAAAAAATCTATAAAGGGTCTTCAGCAATTCATGATTTTGATCAATTCAATGCATATTCCTCCATCACAGGGTGTGATAATAGTGATAGAATTACATATTTTTGTCATTAAAATGAGGTTCGCATATGTCCTCTTATGTACAAACTTATAAATCAAATGCATTTGAAACACACCAGATTTACAGAAATAAATATATCTTTCAAAAAGATGATAATCCAGACTAGATGAAATGGATAAAAATATTGGCAATCTTCAAACTCTATGTCATAATAATGGCACTACTTTTTTAATTTTTATGAATAATCACATTTGTTCTCCATATGGTTGTTTACCTGAATAAATTGAGTTTTCTTTTTCATTTTTTTTTACTTATGAAGCAATCAAAAAACCACATGGAATTCACCTAGCTTCTTCCAATATCTAGGCAGAACCTAATGCATTCTCAAGGATCACATTTACATCTCACCAAGGAAGGAAAAACAGAAATATGCTCATAAAACACAATTTGTCTAGTTTTTGAAGTGCTAAATGCATAATCTGAATATCTTCTGTTGTTCTAATTCAAATATAGACCCTTTATAACAAATAATAAATTCCATAGTATCTCAAAAGTTACATTTGCCGCTGTTGAGAAGCAGTATATAATGCCAAATATAAAACTGTATTTTTTTTGTAATCCATTTAAAATCCTTACAGTTATTACATTTCTGTTTTTTATATTAATGCCTCTGTAATGTGTTTTTTTCCTAAATGCCACAATGTGAAAATATAAAATTCTTTTTTTTTTTCAATATAAATACATAAAATAGGAGTTCATCAATGCAAATATTGCATTTTTTCCTTTAGATTGATTTAAGGCAGCTGGACAATAAATTTTAAAACAGCTTATAACTACCTGTATCCTTCAGTTGTAAGAAACTGGAAGAAAACCTTGTGAGATCCATTAAATAACCTTTTTTACAGATTAGTAACTTCTACCAAGTTCCTGGGTATACACTTTATTTAACAACAACAACAGCGATCACTTTTTTTCTAAGAGTATTGAGTTCTTCACTTGTTTGTTTCTTGGGGGTTTTTTGAGTGTTTCTGAATACCAAAATTGCATGCATAAATATAACAAAATATCTTTTTCTATTCCTGGCTCTATGTTTAAATCTAACTCTAACAGAAAAAATGCTCTTTTGTATTTAAACAAGAGTCAAAATCAGGGACAAGAAAATAATTCTCAGTACTCTGATGAGGTTGAAACACATTAATCACATTAATACATAGTTCAGCAAAAGAAGTTTCCTGTGTTCCAAAATAGTACATGCCAATAATATAGATCAGATCTGCTATCAAGAAAAACAAGACAAAATCTTTGTAAAAGCCATGCTAATTAAAAAAAAACAAAACAAACAACAACACAAAATATCGCTGTACTTTACCTCATGTATGTAAAATGCTGGAAATATGAGCATTCTAGCAGTCTATATGCTATTCTATACTGACTATATGCTTTTTCATTAATATACAATGCATTTCTAGTGTCTGCTATTATAAGCAAATTTTTAGGTTAATTTCCTATGGAAAAGTAGAACTTCAATATATAAACCTTCATTTTAAGAAAAGCTTGGTACATGCAAACATCCAGCAGTCGGAATCACAGAGAAGGCAGAAAAGATTTTTGGTCTGCTGTCATGGTTCTAAGTTTATTTATTCAATTTAATTCTGGCAGAAGAATATTTATAATGTCAGGAAGATACAGCTTTTGTTCTGTCTGAAAGACAGAAGTATTAATTCCCTCAAAATTATAACTCATGCTTATGGAGCTCTTTATATTTAGGAAGATAATTTAACATCACTCCAAGAAACCTCTTGAGTCTGTATTACTTGCAACTTAATTCCATCAGTGTATATAGCCTGATTTGTCTGTATTACCCCTACATCTTCTGTCCTAAAAAATCGATTTACACACAATAATAATAAATACAGGTAAACAGCCATATTTTTCCCTCTTCCTACCATTACCAATTGCTTTGAAATCGGGTAGTACTCATTCTTGATTAATTTTCCTCCCTTTTTACATGGAATTAAGAAGACTTTAATGAGAAAAACGTATACAAGTTCTCAAAACTTGTTAAATCACTGAGCCAGGAGCAGATAGGATATGATGACAAATTTGACATAAAGCAGCACTAACATAATTATAAATATCGTCATTTTTGTCTAAGGTGAAGGCAGCTGTCAAAAGCAAGGGGACATGTAGCCTAGCTCAGTTTCCATAAAATATTGAACAGAATTAAAAATTAATATAATATGGTCAAACTACCCACTAGCAAGAATGTTCGGTTAATAAAAAAATAAAAATGGCCCAAGGATCTATGATCGATTGGTAGATAAATTAAGCAATAAAACATTTCTGCACAATTGGTGATGAAGAAAAAAGTCACTTACCTAAAACCCCCAGCCTGTAATTGAGAGTGACAACAATGACATTTCCGTAACTTGCAAGAATGCTTCCATCAATCATATTTCCAGTTCCCTCCATGTAAGATCCACCATGGATGTAGACCATAACGGGTTTCTTGCTGTTCTGATCATGAATGTCTGAAAAAATTCAAGTAAGGAGAACATAATAAAGTAATAAAAAATAACAAAATACAGCATTAGCAATTTATAACAATGCTAAAACTATTCTTAATTATTTCTTATATTTTCACTATCATCACCACTACTTTAATCAGCTAGCTTACACAGTTCAGGATCATCCTGCAGGCCTAATATTTGTAGTTTGAACATCTCTCTTGGTTACTTCAAATACTATTTCCTCTGAAATGTTCTCAGAACACCTGAAATGCCTTCATTATTATACAGAATTTACTATGAATATAAATGTCTAAAAGCCTAAAGAGAGAAATAAAATTACAGAATAATCTTGTCTTTTTTTAGAAGATTCGGATTCAAGTATATGCCAATTTAGAAGTATCTGTACATTTAATAATAAAATTACAATAATGATACCTACTTTCTCATTCCTCACTGAGACATAATTGTTGAAATTATATTTCCAATAGTTCAGTAAGAGATAATATCACAAAATCGAATTGTTCTGATAGAAGTAAACATAGTGAACTATTCATTTTTTTCAAATATACTGAGTTAACAAACACAGAGAATTTATGTGAATCCACAGCCCAAATTTTTTCATTTAAAGCAAATGATGTCCTTTGTGTTGTACTTTTCCTTGTCATGGTAGCTAAGCCCTAAAGAACAGCCTTGAATTAATACTCCTTTATGGTATGGCTGATCTTTTGTATATACAGAAAAGCCCTTCATTTATCAAGCAGATAAACAGTTGGGTCTTTATTCCTAAAAGAAAGTTAAACGAAATTGATAGTAATAATTTCATACTTCAGAGTGAATTTTAAAGATACACTAATCAGTGATTTGGGGTATATTTACGACTGGATTCATATCTCTTCCTCTAATAACTCCTCACCCCAGGGATGGTTCAGACTACTTAAAGTAAGAACTTATGTTCTTTAGAGAAACAGTGGGAACAGAGACTAAAATCCTCTAAAAACCAAAGGGCATTCAGGAGGCTGACCTTAGATATATACACCTTTTACAAATAATTCAGTGAATCTGCAGGTGGAATAGAAGCACCTCTTTCAACCATATAGTACAACATACAAGGGAAAGCGGAGTCCCTGAATATTCAATCAGGATTAAAAAAAAAAAAGCTGTGTTCTACTTTGGATAGGATACGCATATATTGAACAGTGGAAAAGGGAAGTTGAGGAAGAAACAGATGAGCTAAATACCTAGAAGTAGGGGACCTCCTTTTGAAAGCCTTCTAAAACTCTTCACTCTTCTCAGGTTTGTCAGGAAATACTCTAAGATGCCGAATATGTGATTGGCAATGAGACACCACATATATAATATTTTATATATGTAATTTGAGCACATTTAGAGGCAAGTTATGACTGCTCATATTCCTATGGTCAACTTTTACCTTACTTATGTGTATGCACTACCCTAAATATCAAAATTGTCCGCTGAGTGCAAGGAAACTATGTTCAGGCTCCAGTGTACATCTCTCTATTTGTCAGAGTTTAAGGCTTCTCGTAGAATCTGCCTTCTGTTCATAAAGAGATACATACTTTATGTGTCGTATTTTATGTTTTGTATTTGAGCAGCTGAAATAAAGGTTTTTTGGTGAGATCTTTTTACTTGTTGTGACTATAAGAGTAACACTGCTATTAAACAGATCATATAAAGCAATGAGGGGATCTAGCATCTAGTGGATGTATTTTTTTTATACTCAGCATTTTCAGCAAAGTACATGAAAGCATTTCATCTGTGAGGGCTCAACTAAGCCCTCAGAAAATGAAAGTAACAATTATATAACATTTGCCCCCTCTCGCTATGAAGTCTCAGGCCATGATTTGTTGTATTTAATCCTTCCTCAGGGTTGAATCTTTCACTCTGAAGTCAATGGGAGGTTTCCTCTTCCCTTTCAATGGGAACATGATTAGCTTCAACATAAAGGAAACAAGCTCCATGCTTTATGTGCTTAGGTCTAAAGTGGATGCTTTTGTTAATGATAAAACCCTAAATTTTTGTAATGTTTGAAGATGTCTAAATAATAATGTATTCATAATCTAATATCTATCTTACATTTTTGCTTTTGTTTGTTACTTATCCTTTGCATTAAAATTAACTACAGAATTTGGTATAGCAAATGATACTATAATTTTAAAAAATCATACATTGCACAGAAATAGGAAAGTGATACTCAGAAATTAACAGTAATTTTGGAGTATTCTGCACAGTATTTTTGCATTATAAGAAATAGAGCAATTCAGCAATGAAAGTGGTGCAGTAGAGGGCAACCAGTGTGAATCAGAGACCAGAGATTTTTATTACAGTATTTTATATATGGATAGAGTAGCTACAATTGAGCTGAAATCCCAGGAAAAGAGGAGATAATGTCCTCCCTGCAGCATGCACGATTGTAAGGGGAACAGAGCAGACAAATGTTTCAAAGTTACTTGAACTGATGTCAGATAGAAGAAAACAGGAAAAGAGTCATGGAATAACACTTCAGATTGACCAAGCATGAGAGGAATAAGAAACACAGTGCTCCAAAACCAGACCAACAAACTAAGTTTGTTATCTTCTCAATTAATTTGAAAATATTTTTCTGAATTTGGTCAATATATAAAGTAAAATAAACTGTCAGTGTGACATCAATGAAAAGGAAGAGTGAGAATAGAGGAAGATTTCATGGCTTCTATTTTGGTGCATCCTAAATAGCTTTGCTCTGCCAAGGCAAGAAAAAAGTATTTCCTTGTAAAACTTTTTTGGGGTGCTTCACTCTGAACTTTAGCATTTCCTTTCAGGGAATCCAATACAACTCTGAAAGAAGTCAATGAAAATGATTGTCATTGATTTCAGTGGGAATGTGGTCAGAGTCGAATGAATGTATCTCAGAGGCTAGCTGATTACAGGAAAAACCAATAAAACAACATCAACAGCTTCTTTTTGTGTGTGTGTCCTGAAATAAACCACATCCTGTGAGAAAAAAATAATTAAGTAAATAAAAATAGCAAAGACAAAGCACAATTCAAGTGCATCAATGTACAGCATGTGCACTGGGGAAACAGTGGAAGTGAAAGGAAGGATATATGTAAGTTTTTTCATGAATTTCAAACAGGTGAATTTACAAAATGTAGGAAAAAAGCACATGCATGTTTTTAAATTCCATTTTCTTAACCTAAGAAAGAACAGGGAGGGGAAAGTATGTGGTTTCAAATAATATTTAGGTTACTCACTTCACACACATTTAGGAATAACCTTTGCACCTATGTCACAGGGGAACTGTAGTCATCTATATGCTAATTCAGATTTTAAAAAGAAAAACAATGAAAGTAATTTCTAAAGAAGAAAATAAAGAAGCACACTGAAGCGTGCTTCTGCAAATAAGGGACTAAAAATCATGTTGAAATAACAGCAATAACAATAACAATAATAATAATTATTATAATAAAAATTAAAAAGTTTATGTTCATGCATCAGGGTCGAGCTTTGAAAAAACAAAAAATACCTTCATCTTCACCACGATCATTACTGGTTATATCATCTGCGCTTTTCTTTGTGTTGGCTCCTGGGATCATAGTGAGGAGGAGAATAAAGGGAAAAAAGAGAATTCAAAAACAGCAGATTCTCAAAAATAAAAAAACCCACTAGTACAAAAAAAAGAAAAATGTAACAAAAATGTCAAAATCTGTTACATTTGAAATTGAAAAACAAAAAAAAAAATGCAAACTGCACATAAACATAAAATGTCAAGAAGAACAAATTGAAAATATTTGAAAAAAATGTATCATATTCTGTGATAATGCAGTTACTTTAGCTAAAAGTGATTTCTGCAAAAACAAAATTAATGTGCTATTAAAAAAGAATAATATAAACCAAAAATTGTATTAAAAATTTACCAAATTATGTTTTCTACATAAGAAATGCAATTTATTTCATTCTGTTCTGTATCCTTGAAGAAATAATTCCTTCAGTCACTGTCTTCAATGGCTTTACATTTTATTCATCCTCATTAGAATTTATTAAGAATTAGCTACAACTTGAATTTTAGATGGAACCAATACAAATAAAATTATTATTGTCTCACAAAATTGGAATGGACCAAGATAAACCATAAAGACCTCCTTAAAATTTAATCTTGTTTCCCATATGACCAAAAAGTTATTTAAAACAACAGACTGTAAACAAAGGTGAAACAGAGATGAGTCAATCCCAGACATGAAATTTGTCCAAAAGAGCCTTGGTTCATGTTATACCTCATTTCATGGTCTTTAGAAAAACCTGGAAATTAATTTAAAACGGTTACTTACCACGATAATGAACTTGCACTTATTTATTAGAAGATACAGTAAAGAATACATTTTAATTTGTATTTAATATGCTTTTTCAAATACTTTTAAGGTGTATACATGCACACACACACATACACACACGTCCATACATGCCATATCAATTTCTTTCAGATATGTTAGATATCGGCTCTAAATCTCAGTCACCATCCAAGTTTTGATCTTTTTTTCATACTTTTCCAAATTAGTTTTAGCCCAATGAAGGTTGAATCCTTTCTCAAGTGCTACTGAAATAAAATTAATTTTGTATTTAGATAACCAAGTACTCCACCTGTAAAGTGCCCTTAAACTATTTTTGATTAATGTAAAAAATTAATGAGAAATAATTATTCATGAACAATAAATCCACTTAGACACAAGTTTGAAAGCATAAGACAGAAGAATTTTTGGTCTTAGTTCCCTCCATGAGGTAGCCATCTAACTATTCGACAAAAACATGTGATCATCACATGCCAAATATAAAATGAACTACCACATATCATTTCTATGAATTTAAAAATAACAAAATCAATTTGACCACATATAGAGAGAGCCACATAAACACTGTATGTTTAATTATTTAGACTGTAATCTATATTTAAAGTAATTTGAGTGAAAGAAGTAGATGTGTCCCAAAACATTTTAGTTCAGTTACTATTCCCCCCAAATCATCTATCTCTATGTATATATAAGGACCACATTGCAAGGATTTTCTCTCTAATGTTCTTCCTGCAGTGACTCCAGTTCAGTGCACTTAAGAAAGAACAACACAAGTGTAATGCAAATTCAGAAAATGTCACCACAACATGCTACTAGATGTGATGAGACACAAATATCACATAACACAGGTAGTGACTTAAGGTTATCTGCAATATTTGAAACATTCTTTATTTCTTTTGCTTCATTCTTCACAGCTTGAAGAAACAATGGAGTAGTCAATTTTCAGAACAACTTCATATAATTCTAAAATGTATTTAATTACAATTAAATGCAGTCGGAATGCTGTTTCTCCTATGTGTTGTGGAATAGTATTTCATTAGTCTGTTAGTAACTGAAATATATTTTATAACTAAGTTCTTGGGTTTGAGGGGTTTTTTTATTCATTTTGAGATCTGATAAAATGGATTACATCGATAAGTTCTCAGACTGGGTTTCTGTGTTCCTACCACATTGGATTTGTTCCATAATGTGGATACTAGCCATAGAATCATTACATCATTGAATCACTGAATCATTTATGTTGGAAAAAACCTTTAAGATCCTTGAGTCCAACGATTAACCTAACACTGCTAAGTCCACCACTAAACCACATCCCTAAGCACCACATCTACATGACTTTTAAATACCTCTAGGAATTGTGACTCAACCACTTCCCTGGGCAGCCTGTTCCAATGCTTGATAACCCTTTCAGTGCAGAAATGTTTCTGAATATCCAATCTAAACCTCCCATGGCAAAGCTTGAGATCATTTCCTCTCATTCTAACACTTGCTACTTGGGAGAAGAGGCCAACCCCCACCTTGCTACAGTCTCCTTTCAGGTAGTTGTAGAGAATGATAAGGTCTCCCTTCAAACTCCTTTTCTCTAGGCTAAACAACCATAGTTCCCTCAGCCCCTCCTTGCAAGACTTGCTCTCTAGATCTTTTGCCATCTTCATTGCCCTTCTCTAGACATGCTCCAGCACCTAGAGTACCAATCTCTTTCCTGTAGCGAGGGGCCCAAATCTGAACACAGTACTCAAGATACAGCCTCACCAGTGCCAAGTACATGGAGACAATCACTTCCCTCATCCTCCTGGCAACATTATCTTTGATACAAGCCATGTGGATTATAAATTTGGTATGGAACTGATTGAGGAGAACAGAATTGTTATTGATGGAATTATTACAGTAGCACTAAAAATTTTCAGAAGCATTTTTAAGAAAAATTATATTGATCTTTTGAAAATGTAAGCTTCCAGAAACATATTATCTCATATACAGTGGAAAAATTGGAATCTTCCAACCATGTTGTGTGTTTTCTGTTAAAAATGTCAATTCATTTTTGCCTGAAACTTCTATAAGAAGATGGTATTCCCTGTCATAAGAAAATGAAAGACTTTCTCTTCCTCTAAGGTAAACTTAAGGTTGCACCTCAAGTCATTAATCTAGGAGACAGAATGGGAATGTGACTTGGAATCTCCCATGGCTCAGGAGAATTCCCTGCCTGCAGCAACTGCTTGTCCTGTAAACCAGTGCTTCCCTCTGCTTTGGGGCTTCTTTTAGGGGTTGAGGCGTTTTTTCTTCCCCATATATATAAAAATCAATGCAGTACCAATTTTAGCCTTGGATTCCCATGCACCAAGCACACATTATTACTGCATTATAGGATTGGCCCTTCTGCAGTCTAAAAAGTGTTTACTCATTCATCCCACATGAAGCATAGATGGTAAATCTTAACAGCAATCCTGGAACTGGCAGTAGAGTGGAGGGCAGGGCAGATAGTAGTGGTGATCTAGTACATTAAAAACTGAATTCCAGGAGTATCTGTATTGACCAGTCTAGGGTTTAACTGGAGTTCTTGGTTTGCAAGGTTCATGTTTCACTTTTCATGCTGATGAAAAATACCAAAGAAAAATATTTCAAAATGCTAATAGGATGGGAAATTATTTTCCAAATGGTCAAGTCCAGGAACCATTTAATTACATATATTAAATATGTTATAGATATCATAGCTCTGCTGAAGATTACATTTGTATAGAAGTTCATGTTTTTAAAAGTTATAAGAGGCCTTACTGTTAATGACAACTAGAAAAAGATGTGACTTCATAAGATATATATTAAATACCAGATGACCTCTTTTCATTTGTGCTAAAATTCCATTCATTGATCAGTGAAAAATGCCTGGTGTAATTCCTTACTGAACTGTGTCACTGTGTCAAACTTCTTTTGAAAGGATATTTTGCTTTCCAGAAAATCCTTCTTTTATTATTTTTTTTTTTCTGGATATAGTGTGATAGTAAAGATACAGAGTAACATAGGCATATATGAGCCAGTTCCAAACTAGTGCCAGTCTATGTAGCCATAATAAAACAGGGATCCATGTGGGCTTTTTTTCCTCCCTAAGAAGCTCTAAGTAAACTTTAATTTAGTAAGCATCTCTCTTTAAAAGTTTTTCATGCTGAAACATTAACCCATGTGCTTTCAAAAAATACTTGATTTCATTTAGCTATGGATGTAAAGTCACCTTGTATTCCCATATTCAGTCTTGATCCCATGCAGACATCTGTCACAAATGAAGAAGTCACCCCACTGTAAGCACACCCTCTGGGTCACATTTCCTTTTATAATAAATAAAAATCTCATTCAGAAACAGATTTTCTGGGGTTGCAAGTCTTCCCAGATGTATTCGCAATTTATCCTACATCTTCCTCCATTCAGATAATATGTATCATCTATATATAATGTAGTCGGGTCTCCTGCTTGCAATTCACCAGTGCTTGCATTTTAGGTATCCATTCTGAAACCTCTAATGGCAGCAAAAAATTATCGACTACTGCTTAAGCTGCTGCCATTTCTTTGCATTTTATATGTAATTGCTCCATCTGTAACACAGTATACCTTTTGACTCCATTTAATTTTGGGAAAGCGTTCAGTTTTCAGAAATCACACAGCACATTATTACTCGTATGACCTCCCAGTTTCACATAGAGCATGTTCAACCTTCTGGAAACTTCCAGCTCAAACCAGATTAATACAGGATTTAATAGTAATTTTCTCAATGATATGTCTTATTTATACAGCCATTTCAACAGACGTCTAAAGCTCTTGGCTTCCCATCCCATGAGAACTATTATAATTTTACAATCAGCTCGAGTTGACAGTTCATTACAGTCTTGAGGGAGAAATAGGAAGGCAGAACTGTACTTCCCTTTCTGCATTTCTCCCAAGACTGCTGGCTTAGCTTTACTTTGAGCCTCACTTAGTACACAAACCTTAAGCCATTTCATGTCCAAAAAAGAGGAGTCTATCAGTGGGGTAGTTTGGCTGCCAATAACACCGTCCCTGGCTCATGGCTATGGCCAAGATTATTTAGCTACCTTTATAGCCATACAAAAAAGTTCTCATTTGGCAGCTGAAGATCAAAAGAGACATTTGGCTTTTCAAACAGAGGAAAATAATTATTAAGAACTGCAGCTTGTCAAATTGTCTTAGAAGTTGACTGTGGATCACCTACATTAGCAAAGATCAGAAAGACAACGCA